GCGCGGTAGGTGGGGCCCCGCCCCCGGGCGCGTGGATGGGGGGGCGCCCCCGGTCCCCGCCCCCTGGCGCCCGGCGGGCAAACGGCCACGCCCCCTGGCGCCCGACAACCTAAAAAGGTTGGGGACCACTGGGTTAGACAGACATCTGTCAGGGATGGTGTAGACGGAGCTTGGTCCTGCCTTGAGGGCAGGGGGCTGGACTCTATGACCTCTCGAGGTCCCTTCCAGTCCTATTATTTTATGATTCTATGATTTCTATACAGTACATATTTGCATGTTCCCTGTAGCCATCTCTCAAACAAGCCTGATTACTTTACCTCAAGCTGTTCTTTTTGTGAAAAGCCCTTCATGCTCTTTCCTGTGGAGTGTCCAACGAAGGTCATTACTCTGACAATGGGATGGTGCTGAGAAAGAATTTCAGCAATTTCTTGGACGCTGTCCCGAAATGAAGAAAAGATCATAACTCTGGTATCACTGGATTTGCTATCAGATGTGCTTTGATCTGTTCAAGACAAAAATAAGTTTGAGCTAAAAAAGCATTTTATATTCACAACAAATGAAAAACGCAGGGCCAGGTCACCCCTTCGTTGGGCATGCGCCACTCCCTTCTCTTCATTCAGGAGATGATTGTGCCCCAGAGGATTCCATTTCAGTTTGTGATTTACACAGCGTGCCTCGCCTGTTTTTGCTAGGAACACAAAGCCACCCAAATGCACCTCATGTTAAGAAAAGTGACAATTACAAGCTTCCCAACCTATTAAAAAAAAAAAAGAAAACTTTCCTCATTCAGTACAGAAAGGACACAGTCACTCCCTGGAGCATACCAGGCAGAATAAACACTAGCTCTGCTTTGGAACGGATTCAACAGAGGGCCCTGCACTGAGAATTCCTTGCTCCCATGTCACCATTTGCTGTTATAATTAATTGCTTTATAAAGCCCAAATGTGCATGCAGTAGATGCCGCAAAATAAAATTAAGATTTGGTCACGCAACAAAGAATCTGCAATCGAACACCAAAGCAACTATATAATGACCTCACAAAAGGGGGAACAAAACAGGAGGAACAAGTGAAGTATGCAATAAAAATACACACTACTCAGGAAAGACTAGAGCACAGAATGGTTCAGCCAAAACATGGAACTTAAGTGATATATCAGGATGAATATCTTTGATGAAAGCCTTTACCAGTTACTACTAGAAATTATTGCTAAGTGTGCAACTTAGGCTTCTGGGTGAGCTGTCAGCTCAACAAGTAACAGAGCAATACACTAAGCTGCATACTGGGACTTCCATGATGCCATGGTGGCATCCAAACTGCAAGTTACTGAGTGTTGTAGATTCACACTCTGGCTTGCCACATAACTAGGGAGTAGACAAGAGACAGGCATCTTGCTATTACTGAAAGCTCTGCTTTACCTACCATTGAAGATACATGGAACAAGAGACAGTCCAAACAGTCACAACCTAAAAGACTGTGTTGTCTGTATTCCTTGTTTATTTTACTCATTGGAATGCTGCTGGTGAACTGATATTTTGTAAAAACTTAAAAAACAATGAATAGTCTAGTAGCACCTTAAAGACTAACAAAACATGTAGATGGTATCATGAGCTTTCGTGGGCAAAACCCACTTCGTCAAATGACCGGAGTATAATAAGTCCAGATCCAGAATAAATAAGGGAAGGGGAGAAGGAGGGGGGTAAAAGGAAAGGGGTGGAAGGAAAAGAGAGAGAGAGAGTAAGTAGATAGTTCAAATAGTTACAAGAGGCTGTTAAGTCATTAAAAGATGGAAGATAGTGTGGGAGCCATCCTATATCCTGGTTCAGACCACTAGCATAAGAATTAAACTTATGAATGAAGTTAAGCTCCAATCCTTCCCTGTGTATTTGGCTTGTGGAATTGGTCTGAAACGAAACGGCGACTTGGAGATCTGTTAATGAGTGTCCAGGAATATCAAAGTGTTCTTCAACAGGTTTCTTGTATTTGCCTTTTTGGATATCTGATTTGTGTCCATTAATTCTTTCCCACGGAGATTGTCCACTTTGGCCAATATACATGGCAGTGGGGCACTGCTGGCATTTGATGGCATAGATCACATTCGTGGATGTGCAGTTAAATGAGCCTTTGATTTGGTGGCTGATTGCAGGGGTGGGTTCCTGGATGATGATGATGGAGGTGTGCTGCGTGGTTACTGGAAAGAATTTGTTTGAGGGTAGGGGAATGTCTGTAAGCGAGAATTGGCCTTTTCCCCAAAGCCTCAGAGTGGATCCAATGACATCACCCACCAAATCAAAGGCTCATTTAACTGCACATCCACGAATGTGATCTATGCCATCAAATGCCAGCAGTGCCCCACTGCCATGTATATTGGCCAAACTTTGTTTTTAATAATTTGATATTCTGTTGAAACTGTGGGAGCCAAGGAATGAAAATCGTAAGAGTAGTGAGCTATGGAGACAAGACACACACTTTGAAAGTCAGGGGCGATCAATCAGACATTACTTTTTTTCGGTAGATCAGTTAAATATTTGAACTGAAGCAGTGATCACAGGCCCCAAAGAAAATTGCAGCTGAATTTTATTTTGTATTTGCAGCACACTTATGATGCTTGGCATTCTAGTTGTCTCAAGAATTGGCTGAGAACCATGGTGTCCAACCAGTTCTGAACTAGCCACATTATTCTGAAAACGTAAATAATTTTGTGAATCAACTAGCCACACTCAAACAGCCAAATAGCTAGTGGCTAGCATGCTGGGTTTGGAGCATAAGGAGAGATGCAGCCTCTCAGAAGCGAAAGAGCCTAACCTCAAAGGGCTTCACAGATCAAAAATCAACTTGAATTACCCCTGCAAAATCTTGTAGCCAGTGACATCTTTGCCTTGCAGAAGCACCACTAAATCTGGGACTTCAATACCCGAGAGGATGCCTTTTCTCCTTATGCTAGTAGGCGGATTGTAAGCAGCCCAGAAGGCATTGTAAAGCATGCAAAGTTGCTGGATGGGGAGATACCGCAGCTCCTCTCACACTCTAGTCTGTATTTGACCCTGGCCTATCACGTTCATATAATATATGATTCCATGTGACCAGAGAGATGAGATCAACTTGCCAAAATATACCTAAAAGCCGGTCTACCTTAAATTTGTTTCTTCTCCCAGGCTTTAATTTTAAGATTTCCCCCAATTGATTGGAACACTAAAACTGGTTTTATTTTCAAACATGCAACTTATGCTTCCAGGTGCCAGTACATATCAAAAAGTTCTGAAGTAGTATTGAGAGATAAGAGGCTGCTTGTTGTGTCAACTTCTCAATGCTACAAGCACGGATTGCTCCACAAAAAGAAGCCTGAGGAATTCTGAAATTAAGACTGGAATTACTTGCATCAACTAAACTATTATACCAAGGAAATGTTTTGCATGATTTAAGGCACAAACATACACACTAATTATATGAGGTGACTTCCATGGCTTTTCACAGAATCCCCCATTAGGAGTAAAGATGTTAAGTAGTGTGTAATTCACTAATCGAATAGTCAATGCATTTTTGCATCGACTATTCAATTAGTTGATCGGGCAGCGCCACCCATTTGAAATGCTGCACAGAGCCCGGGATCAGCTGAGGACTCCCTAGCTGACCCCAGGGTAGCGTTTCAAAGGAGCAGCACTGCACAGCTGATCCAGGCCTCTGTGCAGCTCTGCTGCTTTGAAGTACTCCCCTCTGATAGAGGCAGCAACGGGGGAAGGGAAACAACTAGTCGACTAGCCCTTAACATCTCTAGTTAGGAGCATCAAGTGTTGTATCTTTGAACTCCATAATGAAAACTGATACACCTCTTCCTCCCCATTAACTGAAATTTTCTGATGATTGAAGTTCTCTGATGACTCAGGGAAAAGATTTTTTTTTTTTTAAACAAAATCATAGCTTCAGAGTCATAAGTCTGCAGAGGGAGTTGGATTCCACAGCCTGTCCTATGGCCATGAAAATCTGGAACAATTGAGACTCCAGTAACAAAACTAAAATGTTTGTTTTCATTGTTCTAACTGTTGGTTAGTGTTATGCAAGAATTTATAGTGAAATAAGTTTAACCCATAAAGGAATGTCACTTAACTCTATGATGGTAACTTGCTTTTTTCAGTGATTTTTTCCCCAAATGGATGAAATAAAAATACCCAGCAAAATATCCAAGAGTATCAATCCATTAAGGAAAATAACTCCAAACTGGGTCAAACCAAAGTTCCATCTAGCCCAATGTCCTGTCTTAAAACAGTGGCCAATGCCACATGCTCCAGAGAGAATGAATAAAACAGGGAATCATCACGTGATCCATCCCCTGTCATCCATTCCCAGTTTCTGGCAAACAGAGGCTAGAGACTGTTCAATTAAAGAAGAATATTACGGATTCATACTCATCTAGTGCTATTAAATTTATATTTTGAAGACTAACACTTACCTGAATATCCCTTCCAGGATTTGAAGTGTTCTACAACGACTTCTTCTAATTTCTTTAATTTTGGATGACTGTAGATGATTTTATTTTTAGGCCCTGTAAGCCAAATAAAGTTATTTTTTAAAATATACCCATGTATCTTTATTTGGAGTAAATATGTAAGAGGTGCTGTGAGCCTTTTTTTCTTATTCTGCGTCTCTCTTCCAAGTATGACAAGCACCAATTACCAACAATTCCAATCTAATTACAATAATTATCTAGTACATCAACATCAGTAAACTCATTGCTGAAGCAAATGTTTTTTAAACCCAGTTTTTCAAGTCTTGAGCTTTACTTTTTTTGTGGTCAAATTTAAAAAGTATTTCACAAATCTGGTTAAGAGATGATAGCTAATAGTTAAATTCGATAAGAGATGATATTACCATCCAGTTTAGTGCAGTCTTAACTGTAAAGAGCACTAGCAAAGAGAGGCCTCACAAATATCAGATTTAGTTTGCACCTGAAATCATCAGGAATTAGAGGCTTTTTGTTTATCAAAGCATCAGGATTAAATTTTGAGGGGGAAAAAAGCCTCTTCTAGAAAATATTCAGGATATGCAAAGATGCTGACTTCAAAGATAAACACAGACCTGTTCTATTGTAAAGAAGATTTCCATTTGCTGAAGTTACAGATGTATCTGAAAACATGTTTTCAAGTTCCTGATATAGTTTCATGAAGTCCTCATTCCGGCTAAGTTCATTCCTGGTGCGAGTCAAGCCTTTAAAGATAAAATGGTTAAATAGTCAATCTCTTAAATAAATCTTAAAGATCTGGTGTTTTGCTACATATACATTAGCTTTAATTTAGAATCAATTCCACAGTTCTTTAACTGACATACACATTTTCTGAAGAAACTAAGGTTATTATGAAAAGGTTTATGTAATTAGGAGTCAGTATTATTTCAGGGAGTGTTAGAGGATTACATGCACATAACAGAAGTCTATATCCTGTTAAGGCAAATTACAAATTATTAGTCTCAAGCTTGTCCTTTTTGCCAACAAGACGATCTAACAAAAAACACTACCTTGCCGCCCACCTTGTCTTTTTAATGTCATCCATTTTACTTCAGAAAACTGGCCAGCTGTTGATGATGCTTTCTGCACTCATTCAAGATTAAGAGAGCTGCACTACTAGTGTAAACAGGACAGAATTAAATGTCTTTCTGAATGTTTCTGTAACAGTGCAGAATTTTTTTTGTCCTGGTTACCCTAACAACTGAACTGTGGTAAGTATGGGTTCAAGGAATGCCACTAGGACTGAGCATGTTGTCAGTAATCAACTTCTCAATGAAGAGAAGGCTTCAGGGAGCAGTGAGACTGAAGAACTGAGAAAAATAATAAATGCATATTCCCAGTGCACACTTCTTCTAATACAACAGTACTACCAAAAATACCAAAGTAAGCATGTATGAAAGCAGTGCCTTGTAAAAATGCCAATGCACGACTGTCACAAGCAGGGCTCGACAAATAATGCAATCTACTTTCCGGTGGCGAGTAGACTGCAACCTGGAAGAGCCGGGTTCGGGCAATCTGCGCATGCGCAGAACGATCTGCGCATGCGCAAATCTCCAGACACCACGGCTGGGTCTGAGGCCCTGATCACAAGACTCCAGCATACACTGCAGCAAGGGAGGTTTAGGTTGGACGTTAGGAAAAAGTTCCTAACTGTCAGGGTGGTCAAACACTGGAATAAATTGCCCAGGGAGGTTGTGGAATCCCCATCTCTGGAGATATTTAAGAGCAGGTTAGATAAATGTCTATCAGGGATGGTCTAGACAGTATTTGGTCCTGCCATAAGGTCAGGAGACTGGACTCAATGACCTCTCGAGGTCCCTTCCAGTCCTAGTGTTCTATGATTACTATTTGCTAATCATTTCTAAGATCTGGGGTATTTTTTTTTTAATTGCTCTCAAACTTCAATATCAGACAGCAGTAACAGCAGTCAGGAAAAACTCATTTAGTAATTGTGTAGCTTGCATTCAACTACCCAGAAGCGCTAATGGTATCATGAATACAAGATTCATCAACACTTGAGTAACAAAACACTAAAAAATCAAGATGCTAGATCTAGACTACAAACATGCATTGGCAAAGCTGCACTGATGCAGCTGCACCGATGCAGCTGCACCATTGGAGTGCTTCTAGTAAAGACACTTTAAGCCAAGAGGAAGCCAGCTCTCTAAGTCCCCTGCTGGTCACAGGCTCCGTGTTTCCGCTCTGAAATGTACAAGAGCCCCAGAGGGGAGTCTCTGTTGTTGGGAATACTCTACACTTGCACATTTCAAATGCAGAACGCCACCACTACACTCCTGCCCCGTTCCATGGAGCTGGAGGGAACCAGCTTTGAAGCCGGCTCCCCACAGCACCTCCTCTTCCTCCTCAGCTGCCTCTTTCTGATAGAGGCAACGGCGGAACGGAGGAGGGAAGTGACTCGTCAACTAGTGTGTCAACTATCTGATAAGCTCTTGCTTATCGGATAGTTGACTAGTCGATTAGTTGCTTATGTAACCCCCAAGGAGATGACAGATTCCCAGGGCCTTGTCTGCTGGCAGCTCAGGGAGAGGAACTCTGAGTTTGCCTTGGCTCCCCCACCCTACCAGGGCCAGAGTCTGCCTGGCAACCCAGCGGGAAGGAGAGACCATTGTGGGGGGGAGTCTGGAGCCAGCCAGGAAAAGGGGAGGACTGGCTGTGGGGGAGCTAATAAGTCCCAGGCCTGCATGCAGGGTTTCCCCTGAGGACTGGCCTCTAGGGACCTGAAGGCAGGATCCCTCAGCTGGGTTTTATGTCTCCACTGTTGATTCCCAGTTGTGGAGTTTGCTGGGAGGCTTCCCCAGCCTGGCTTAGTTGGCTCCAGCTCCCTGGGTGAGAGGAGTCACCGCATGGTCAGCTCTGCTCTAGTGGTGAGTTGAGGGCTATTGCCGGTTATGTGGGTCTGAATGCTGGGCTAGAAAGTTATAGTTTGAATTTTGGTGCAGTTGTGTGGCCTGCACCTTGAGCCCTGCACCCCTTCGCGGGGAGGGGAAATCCTGGGACCGAAGCAGCCTGACTCCTGCCTGAAGAGGACCCCTGCGAGAAGAGAGCAGCCCCTTTGCAGTGACTGAGTCATCTCTCAACCTGAGGCTCATTCAGGGAGTGTGTGAGTGCACCAATTTTTATAACCTGCTGCATATTAAACCTGTGGAGGGATTTACCACCTTCTTCCACTTGTGAGTCCTTTGGGCTGTACTGGACCCAGTCCGCTCCACTGCTAAACCACTGCAGAGAAGAAATTTGTGGTCAACAGTCATCAAGGGCCCCAATAAAGTATGTAAATGGGGCCAGCTTTAGCCACAGTGATACTGAAGGGATACAGTATGTTCAGCTGAGACACCCCCCACCCCCAGTGCTTTGCATAGATGGAGAAAGGTGGCATTAGCTTTGTACCCCAGGTAGATGGAATCTGAGCCTTATTTTCCATTGGAAAAGTCCAGCAGATTGGAATGGGGCAAGATTTCATACAGAGTGGTTAATGATTTGCATCCTAATTACTGAGTAATTCAAGGGCAGAATTGGGGCTAGATTAGAGGTAGCTTGAAATTCAGGGTATGTCTATTTTTACTGGAAGATTGACACTCTGGCAGTTTAATTTAGCGGGTCTAGTATACACCCGTAAATCGAATGCTAAAGGCAGTTCCTGCCAGTGTTCAGCGCTCCTCTCTTTGTGAGGAGTAAGGGAAGCTGATGGGAGGCTTTTGCTCCTGTCAGCCTCCCTCAGTGTGGACGCCACCACGGCTCATCTTAAGGTAAGATTACTCCAAGTATGCATTTTGCGTAGCTGCAGTTGTGTACCTTAAGCCTTCCTTCCAGGTTCAGTGTAGATCTGCCCTCAGTCCACTAACAGCTTAGCCCTGCCATATTATCTGTGGGCAGAAGAACCCACATTTCACTTTAGCTGGGTTGTGAGCAGCTGTAAGGATCCACCCATGTGGATCTCTAAGGTGCTACAGGACCATTGTTGTTTTTAAAATTTTGTTAGTTACAGATTAACATGGCTACCTCTCTGAGACTTTCAAAATGGTTATAGTATTACATTCACAACACAACTTTCAATGGCTTTTTAGTCTCAGATATAACTAGAACTAGTACCTATATACATTTTTATATTACCAGATTATTTAATTTACAAAGTACAGCAATGAAGGGAGAACATTAAATCCTTTCTTTTACGAAATTGCAAATATTCCATGGAGTTGCTTCATAGTATCCTACTACAGTTTTCACTTTGTCTATACAGGGCTTTATAGTGTGGCTACTTTACAAAGATACAAGGAATTTAGCGTCTACACTATAGATACAGGCACACATACATTGTCTCATAGATACCGCAAGAGGAAAGTCCAAATCCTGCTTTCACATTAACAAGTACAACTCTCACTGAATTCAGTGTGCTGTGTGCAAGTATCTAAAGTCAATTTGGCTCAATGACTTTAAAGACTTACCAGAAATTATTTCTGATGCAGTAATATTTATAGTATAGATTCTTTAACTATGTAAAGAAATTTCAATGAGGTTCAAGAATAAGGCTCCCTTGGGTCATTAATGGTGCAGGCCAGTGTTTTTCAATTTCAGGCCTGTGGACCCATGTCGTCCACAGACTATGTCCATGAGGGTCTGTAAAAGGTCATTGTTGCCATAGAACAGTGATTTTTCAACTGTGATCTGTGGACAACATGGGGGTCCACAGAGTACATCTAAGATTTCCAAAGGGGTCTGACCTACATTTCAAATTTTTAGAGGTTAACAACAACTCTCTGACTATGGTTATCCAGCCAATTATGCACCCACCTTATCGTGGCCCTATCTAAGTTATATTTGCCTAGTTTATCAATAAGAATATCATGCGAGACCGTATCAAATGCCTTACTAAAGTCTAGGTATATGACATCCACCGCTTCTCCCTTATCCACAAGGCTCGTTATCTTATCAAAGAAAGCTATCAGATTAGTTTGGCATGACTTGTTCTTCACAAACCCATGCTGGCTATTCCCTATCACTTTATTACCTTCCAAGTGTTTGCATATGATTTCCTTAATTACCTGCTCCATTATCTTCCCTGGGACAGACGTTAAACTGTCTGTCCCAGACGTCTGTCTACAGACGTTAAACTGTCTGTAGTTTCCTGGGTTGTTCTTATTCCCCTTTTTATAGATGGGCACAATATTTGCCCTTTTCCAGTCTTCTAGAATCTCCCCTGTCTTCCATGATTTTTCAAAGATCATAGCTAAAGGCTCAGATACCTCCTCTATCAGCTCCTTGAGTATCCTGGGATGCATTTCATCAGGACCTGGTGACTTGCTGACATCTAACTTTCCAAGTGATTTTTAACTTGTTCTTTGTGTATCCTATCTTATATTGGTCTCCTGTTTAATATAATTGTGTTTAATATAGTGTATGTGTTTGTGCTAATTTCTGGGAGTCTCCAACGATCTGGCAAATACATGGGGATTACCCTGGCCTAGAATTTTCTCCCAAGCTGCCCTGGTGACCCTGCCAGGAAGGAGTGAGGGGGGTAGAGGCACCGCCAAATACATCCATCAGAAAAAATAAAGTTGAGTGTGTGGCAGGATCCAGAAGAACCCAGGCCTATCCATCAAAATCTGTAAGGAGATTGGCTTTAAAGAAGGTAACCAGGTGGAGAGGGGGCGCTACACTTACATCCCTAGTTAGAAGGTCTATGTAGTGCAGTATGGACACGCCAGCATGGTTGAGCACGGTCAGCATACAACCAGCGTAGACCCTGGTTTACAACGCAGTGTGGATGCTCAAAAATAAGCATGGAAAGACCAGCGCAGGTCCCACAGACCAGGGCTTATGACACAATGCAGACATACCGTAAGTGGCTAATACATACTGTGTATCTTACTCTATGCATCTGTTTGTTCCTTGACCCCTTTAGACGTAAGTGGTTCTCAGCCTTTTCTATGTTACAAAAGAAAGTTTGTAGACCAACATCCCTTTTCATCTAGCCACAAAGAAAGGATGGGTGGCAGTGACCCCCGAGTGTTACTGCTTGAGAATGACACTACTGCACACTCAAACTTGTGTGGCTGGCATCTCCTAGCATGGAGCTGCACAATCATCTAGAGTCATTTTGCTTCGTAAGGAGAATTCCAAAGGCTCCTCAGTTCCTTGCCTAATTTTGGAATTCTTGACCTGAAACTCTAAAGTGGAGGAGAGTTGGTGTGGAGTGGGACTATGCAGATGTGACATACTTGGAAAATAGTTACTGGTAAGTAATCTCTTGTTAAGTGGCCTCTGCATGCTCCCCTTTGTGAGAGACTATGAGCAGCACCTCTTACAAGGTGGGATGAGCAGTTCTAGGGGAACAAGGACCTAAAAATGAGCATCACCTTTGGATGGCGGATCAAGAGTGTTAGAAATGCCCACAAGCTTGCTCTCCCAGACTTCAGTGAAGAACAGCACATTTTTTGCTTTAGAAACATACAGTTTCAAGTAATGGCTTTGCAATTTCTATTAAAAAAACTATGAAGAATGCTTGCAGTATGGATGCTGTGTTCAGATTAGTTAATACCTTTTGACATAGCTGGATGAATGAACAAGGAACAAGTTATAACAGAGACATAAATGAGATCTGGGAAAATACAGACCAGTTAGTGGCCTGTACAAAATGGAAACAAATGGCTTGAGACTGAAAATGGCCACAAAGGTTAGAGTTTTTCCTGTAAAAAGAGGTGATATAAATGCCAGGGTCAATTCACAAGTTTTAATTTCCAGCTGTTGTGTTGCATAGGAACAGCACACCACAATTCTAAGCAATTAATGTTCTAAATTTCTGCTGAGAATGACAACTTCACAAGTGCTTTACATTAGGCACTGTCAATACTTGAGTGTACAGGTTCTGGAAAGTTTAAACAATAAAAACTCAACTGAGATAAAGGCTGCCTGTTGTGCTCAGATGGAAGATAGGTATTAGAAGGATGGTCCAGTAGTTAAAGCAATGGCCCATGACTTGAGAGACAAGGTTCAAGTCTCTTTTCTGACACAGACTTCTTGTGTGACCATGGGCAAGTCACTTATCCTCTCTGCGCTCTTGGTCCCCATCTTTAAGCTGGGACCTACAGAACTTCCCTTCCTCACAGATGCATCGTGGGGTAAAATACACATTAAAGATAGTGATGTGCTCAGATACTACAGTAACAGATAAGTACCTAAAATAGGATTAAAGATTTAATGGCACTGCAGAATAATAGGTTCCAGAGCAAGGTGTAGCAAGGAAGCCTAATCTGAACTACCTACTCCGTGCCGCGTGTAGCTGCGGGCACGGAGTCCGAATTAGCAGGGATCTAAAAATGGCGGCGCCCGGCAAGATGCAAATGAAGCCCGGGAAATTCAAATCCCGGGCTTCATTTGCAACTTCGGTTGCCTACATTAACCTCCCTAGTTCGAACTAGGTGGTAATGTAGACATACGCTAGGAGAGGAAAAAGTGGCATAAGGGTGCCAACATAGTAGACCCTAGTAGATCAGGGGGCTATAATGCTCTCTATAAAAGCAGAGTTAGCCATGCCAGGTTCTCAACACCAAATTCAACCAATCCAGATGGGTCGACCTTTTCTCTGAACACGTGAATACGCTGACACTGGATGAGGAAACCATCAAGGATCCTGTGTGAAACAACTGCACCTTTGGCAATTAAGAAGAGACTGAAAAGCAGTTGGGACCATACCCCCATACCCATTTTAAACTCTCAGAGCCCTTCATCACACTCACACACACGCGCATGCACACACACAGAGCAAGGTCCCCAGACACGGCTCTCTAGACAATCACACAGCTTGATGCCAGGAGACACTAATTCCACAAACAGGAATATGCATAGGCCTTTCAAAGACGAATCCAGGTTTTATATCACAATAAGATCTTGTCTCCATTAGGGATGTAAGTGACTAAGCATAAGCTCATTGGATAGTTGCTCAACTAGTCGCTTCCCCCCACCTTGCTGCTTCTATTGGGGGGAGGGAGCCGGTGCTGGAGGGAGCCAGATTAAAAATCGGTTCCCGCTAGCACTGTCTCTGCAGAGGGGAGGGGAGTCAAGGGGTTAGCAGGGATTCAGCTGTTCCAGCTCACACTGGGTCCCCCCCGCTGCTGCGCTTCACCCTTTTAAATGTATTAAGAACCTGATAGCTCTTAATACATTTAAAAGGCAGAGCCGCAGCGAGGGTTAGCTCCCAGAGCCGGGCGCTAACGCTGCTGCAGCTCCCCTGCTTAACGACTAACTGACTAGTCGATTCGTTAATTACATTTAACATCCCTATTCTACAGCACCAAAAATGGAGCACACCATTGTCAACTGGTGATGGCAAGACAGGAAGATGTAGTGCAGACAGGGTTCAGACATTTTACTTGCAAGGCCAGGAGACATGATGGAAAAAACCAATATAGCATCACCCTATGTCTTCCATGGCTGCTAATACCAACAGGCTGAACTGTTGGGGAATTACTAGAATGTGTGTGGGGTTTTTGTTTAGGGTTTTTTTTGGGCCG